CACCACATTCAAGCTCCACAAAACACCCTCCATCCCATTGCAATTTTCTCATGTGGTTCTGGGGAAAGGACGAGTCATTCTTCTGTCCCAAACAGCTTGTGGCTGGGAGCTCCTCTTTGTCTCTTATTTTTTCTTCCTCCTTTTTGTGGTCCAATGCTAAGTTGGTGGCTGGGGAAGCACTCAGGTGTTACTGGGGTTTCACTGCTGTTTCATTACATAAGTGAAAGCTTGCAATGGGGAGCCAACTGACCACCTCCTGGTTCTGGAGGGGCTCTTGGCTACCTGAGTCACCATAACCACTTGGCCATCTCATCACTGGGGATGGGTTTCTGAGTCCCAGGAAATACCCATTCAGTGACTTCTTCATCCAGCTATTAGTTCTTGAGTACCTTGTAGGTACCATGCATAGTCATTATGTGCATAACATATGAAGATTGATGATAAAGACATGGTCACTGCCTTCATGGAAATCACATTATGGAAAGAGTGGATGCTGGATAAATATACAAATGAATTACTTTCAAAGTATAGCTAGCAAAAAAGAAGGAAACAGCACTCTGAAAAATAATTATGATAGCCAACATCTAATACTATCATCCTTTCTTCACAACTGCTTTGTAAGACAGCTATTATTATTATTATTATTATCTCTATTTCTTGGATGTAGAAATTGAGCCACAGAGAGGTTAAGTGGTTGCCCGCTGGTGCTCAGCTGCCATGTATCAGTATTGAACTTGCATCTGAGAATCGAGCATCAGGGCCAGGGACATAACTACTGGCTGTGCTGGGGAACAGATGCTTTAAATGGGTCAGGAAAGGCCTTTTTGAGGAAATGACCTATAAAACTGAGTTAGGAGCTGGTGGTAGAATGGAGAAAAAGCAGCATGTGTCAGTGTACAAAGGCTGTGAGTTGGGGGAGGCTGGAGTGGTCTCCCATCTGTCTAAGGTCTGGGACATTGGGGTGAAAACTTCACTTCTTTTCTAGATATATCTTAACAAATGTCTCTGCAGATCTACATTTTTTCATCTGGTCATCAAACAGCCTGGTAATGCCAATCCCATGAGCGCTATTACCCACATTTGATAGAATGCACTACATTGTTTCTGGGAACTTAGGGGTGGAGGTAACCCTAGCTCCAGGACTCTGGATTGTGTCAAGTGCTCTTTCTACTCAACATCTCTGCTGAGGAGCAAGTGGCCACTTCCTTCACTGTACCTCTGCTGTCCTATCATCTGTCTACTCCAGTGTACCATGATATCCCCAGCACCTCTTAGTTCATGCTCTGCTTTCTCCTCCCACCTCAGAATGTACCATTCAGCTGCCTTAACAGTTTAACTGCTAAGGAAATCTCCTGAACAAGCCTTGCTATCAGGTAATGAGTAATAAAGCCCCATTGGAAACCTGTAGTCAACGTGTCTTGTGTGAGCTTCCAACAGCTTTCCCCTCCTTCCAGTCATGAAACCTGCCTCAAGCTATTAGCTCCTTCACTGCCAAAGTACAAGTCATTAGTTGATTAATGGCCTGTTCCCAGAGGAGTCTGGCCAAGGTTTGAGCCTGGGGCCTTTGGTTAACAGGTGGCTTTGCAAATGCCAATAAACCTAGAGTAGTTCTTCCCAACTAGTAAATTGCTTATCTGTGAATAGCATCTCACTTTCTGAAGTCAGCCCCAAGAGGTGAGAGAAGCAGGCCTAGCTCTCCCTGGCCTCACAGGGCCTCAGCATGGCAGAAAAGCCCTCCAGGCCCCAAAATACTTCTCTGCCTCAACTCACAGCTTCTGGAGCCCATCGTGTGGTTTCATGCCTCCGGGCTGCCCATGCTGCTCGTGACTCCTCCTCCCACCCTCTTCACCAGCCCCTCTCATTTACATCTGCCAAAGCACAGCTCAGATACCACTCGTTCAGGAAGCCTTCCCTACCTGTCTACATCCCAGTGAGTCTGTTACATACCAAGGTCCCACCGTCAGAAAAAGTAGCATTCTTAACTTATTCTTTGAGCATTCTTCTTATTCCTGAGATGTACCGCACACTCTAGGAGCCCTCTACACGGATTATCTCCATCTGACAGCAGTTCAAGGAGGCAGGGTCTGACCCCCACTGTTTGATTATTGAAGAAATTGAATCATAATGATGTCTATGATTATGCCCTGTACTCACCATCACAGGTAACACTGGACACATACAAGTTACTGAACCTCCCATAGCTCTATGCCAAGGACGTACACTTTCTCACTGAACTTTCACAACAACCTCACAGAATTTAGTGTTATTGTTACCCCTACTTTGAAGATAAGAGACATTTAACTATTTAGTTAGATTGCATATTAAGCAGATCATATTACACTGCATGTGAATTGCCTAGATTAACTGAAACTGCTAATAATCTATCTGACATCTTATCTTGCCCCTCTGCCTAACAGCAAACACTGTATTGTTGGAGATTATGTTACCAGTAGAAAACAGTGGCGGGGGGGGGGGAGGGCAAGAACTAAACAACATGAAAACAACATGAAGCATTTCCTAGCTTCCTTGGTAGCAGATAAAATGTAGGACAATATCATGGGGTGGAGGGCTGGGGATTTGGCTCAGTGGCATAAGCGCCTTCCTTGCAGTTGTGAGTTCGACCCCGGTACCGATAAAAATGAAAAAGACAAAAAAAAAATTGCAGATCATGGGGTGGGGCTTTAGGAAAGTGGTTTTAAGAGAGTGCACTGTACTCAACTAACACCATTTTGCCTTTCTCCATCTTTCCTTCTTCTAAATTAGGGTGCAAAGTCTGAATCTCCAACGGCAAGCTATGATATCATCATGAAGCAATTCTGTTAAAAATTGCTGAGCAGAAGAAGGGGTTTGCATTCCTGGTGACATCACAGAGTAATCAAGCTAGCCCAAATTTAAAAGAATTTAAATTTTTTTTTTAAAACCTCTATTACTTTGATTTTCTGTTACTTGAAGGCAAATCCAATCCTTCCGGATTCACTGTTGTCTGACCATTGAGCTGTGAATCCTCAGAGCGACCTGGAGGCCTCCTCTGTATCAAGGTCCCTAGCATGCTCATTGCATTTGCATGAATCAAGCCTGAATTTCTTGCCTTTCTCCCCTTCTCCCCTTACTCCCATGGAGACAAAGAAGGTCAAGTTAGAAACACAGACATCTTCCCTTACGTCAGAGGCACAACACAGAAGTAAGGGAAGGATGAAGGAAAGCAGGGCAGGGGAAACTGGCTCCAGTGTCTGCAGCAGGGAAGAACCAGTGCTGGCTGAGGACCAGATAGCTCCACTTGATCCTCTGCTTCAAGCAATGGTGGTGTCATTTCCAGGCGGGGAAACCCAGGGCCAGGAGCCAAATTAAACGTGAAGAGTGAGCCAGAGCCAAATGCAAACGTGTAAAACAGCCAGACTCCCTTGTGTCACAATGAGAAGTGCACTGAGAATTGCCTCATATCCACCTGTCTTCTCACCACCCCGGAACCCCAACGCAAGGCTGCTGATGCAAGCAGGGGGAAGGCTTCTCCTGCTGTGCCTCTGGGATGAGTGCATGGTCTGTGGGAGAGGTCAGTCTGTCCAGGACTCAGTTTCTTTATCTGTGCAGTGGAACTAATATTGCCTACCCCTGCTTCCATGCAGGAGCTGATGAGAGGGTTAGGTGGAAAGACAATCATGGGGTAGAAACTCTGCTTCTACAGTTATAGAAACTTCTTCCAAATCCCAAATTCTATATTGTTACAATCTTTTTCTACACCCGAGTATAAAGCACTTAAAATATTTGTCTTCTTTCTGAAAAAAAAAATCCATTTTCTGAAATAGCAAGCATAGGGTATTATTACACACTAGTAGTAAAAGACAGCTGCCATTAATTCTCTTCAAAATACTCCCTGTGCAACCAAGAGATGGAGGGTGGAGGAAGGCAGGGTAGAAAGAATTAAGATGTGTTATATACACGTCCCCACTTCCCATGAGGAAGGTAATCATTATGCACAGCAAACATGTACTGATAAAAATTTAAATTAAAAATTAGAAGAAACGCTGGGTGTGGTGGTGCGTGCCTGCGACCTTGGCATTTGGGAGGCTGAGGCACAAAGATTATTGCAAGTTTGAGACCAGCATGGGCTACAAAGTGAGCTCAAGATCAGCCTGAACTGCATAGCGAGACCCTGTCACAAAAAGACCCCCCAAAAAAAATTAAAAGAAAAATACTCCCTCTTACTTCATGCACACTTACCCTATTATTGTTTTTAGCACTTCTTAAAGAAGGTCTGGAAGTCCCCTTTGAAGAGTGTCTTTACATAGTATCATAAACATATGATCAAGTGCCATTCAACAGAAATGCCCTGCCTCAGAAAGTGGCAAGAATGTGTGCTTGAAGCGAGGGGACTATTTTTAGGGAAATTAGTGGCAGTGTGTCTATTGCTGTAATAAACTTTTTAAAATTTAAACATTCACTGTATCCTTTCTATTATGCCTCAACCATGAGACCACATTGTTGTCACAATTTATAGCCCTGCAGGGTGAAAAGGAGGGAAAGAAGATGGACTGGTTTATTTACTTATCTTATATCCCTAATGGCAAAATATTGACTACAGGTGTTCTTCCTTAGCTTAGAAATTTATAAGCAATTAACTTTGTTCCTTTACGTAAAGAGGCCTGGGAATTTGGTTGAGGGTTGGATTAATGGGAACTTTTATTCCTTATAACTTTCTAGGCATTTTTCCTTTTTACCATAAATATATTTATATGTTTATTAGTTTAAGTGTGGTTCACCAAAATGCTATTAAATGACTTTGAAATCGCCTGTTTTCATCCCTAGCTCGGTGTTTCTCATTACAGGATCAAATGCCTGAGGCTGAGTAACTTTTAAAGGGAAGAGGTTGATTCAGGTCCTAGTTTTGAATGCTGCAAGTCGAAGCAGCTGCCAATGCCCAGTGGCGATGGCATCACTAAGGGACCACATGAGAGAGGGAGAGAGATCACAGAATGAGGAAGGACGTCTGAGTGAGAAAAACGGTCAGTCTTCCTGCTTTTAATATCACACTCTGGCAGGAATCCAGTGACCTAACCACCCATCAACAGCCTTGTCTCTGAAAGTTTCCATTACCTCCCATATCACCACAGGGGGAACCCGGCTCCCGCTGTGCATTCTGAGGGACAACAGTGAAACCATATCCAAATCATAGCAGCCACTATGGCCCTCTTGAGACTGACACACAATTCAGAAACCCAGGGCTTTACTTCAGTTAGTAGGCTCTAGCCATATTATTGATGCCACTGTTAGAAGAAAACAGGCTCAGTGACTTACCAGCTTCTGTCCAGCCCTGTCCCCAGGCACTGAGGAGACCTGGAAACTATTGCTAGGATGTGGTTTCAGGAATGCTGAGCACAGTGTGAATTCCCGTCATTTGCCAATCTCCGAGGTCCAGCATCAGAAGGGATGAACTCTAATCCAGTAATGGCAGTAAGTCAAGGAGGGGTTGCTTGTTAGCTAACTTACCCATTAGTAGAAGTCAGCTTGTCTAACTAGCTCATCCTTACCACCCACCCTTACCAACCAAAAGCAGAACCTGAAGAAATGGTGGCTCATTTGGATGAAGCACAAAAACATTAGAGCTCAAAAGGTTTCTGTGGATGATCTGTTCCGGAGGCTGAAAACTGTTTGGATTTGTCTGTTTTGTTTATCAGTGTTGTGATGTTCTCGCTGAATTTGGGAATCTGTGTGTGTACTTCCCATTTAATCCTCCTGCCTCTGTGGTCTGATCCAGTGGTCTCCTCTGACTCACGGTTTCGTTTTCTGTGACTTCAGTTACCACAATATTGAGCGCAACTCTAGAAATAAATAATTCATAAATTTAAAATAACTCTTACCACAGCATATTGTTATAACTATTCTGTTGCTAGTTATTGTCATTAGTATATTACTGTGCTTGATTTATAAATTAAACATTATCATAGGTAGGTGTGCATGCATAGGGAAGATACGGTATAGACAAGGTGTTACCTCTGCTGTCAGGCATCTGTTGGGGGTCTTGGAATGTATCCCCCAGGGCTAAGAGGACACTTCTGGATGTGACTGCCCCTTATAGTTATATTACTTGTTTAGTCCATGAGGTAGTTCTATCAGGGCTGGCATCCAGCGTTTGGCACCTGTCCTGGTGTCCTTGGTGCGACCAAGCTCCTAGAAGGATTATCAAGAAATATGCTTAAGATATTCAGGGCACCCAAAAGAGAAGGGATGCAAAAAGCAAAAGAAAAGAACTGGACAAACAACACAATCTCCCCAAACCTCAGAAATCTCTGTGTATCTTCTATTCAATGGAATTAGTATGGCCTTGCTTGGAGTTTGGAAAAGACTTCATTAGAGAAAGCATTAGAGTTCACCGGGATACAGAATGCTGTTAGTGGATGTTTCTTTCCTCTCCTACATAGAAGACTCAGCACACTTTTCCACACTCTTCCTTACAACTACACACACATTTCCTAAAGTAACTGGTAAGAACAAATATGATTGGAGCATTTCAGAGCTGAGATGGAGAAGAAAGTGCTCTGTCCCTGGTGCCTTGAACAGGTTTTTCCACAGGAGTCCCCACTTGCCCAGTCCATCACAGCAGTAGGAGCCTTGTGGCATCTCTACTCAAAACTTGGGCAGGGCAAGGTATTGGCACCACTCACCGTGGCAAGTGATTGTACACAATTCATGCACCCAGGGACACAGGTCATCATCACAGATAGCTCTCTCACTGCATCTCCTTGCTTTTTCTCTTTCAGAGAATGACATCCCTCAGCCGCCAGACTCTGGTCTTCTAGGTTGTCCCCTGTGTCTGTTCACGGTCAGTTTGTGGATCCCCAATGCAGCCAGTCATCCTGGTCACCTAGCTAAAACTTTGGACCATAGGGGAGCACTCTTCACTGGATGGCATGGGCAACCACTGTCCAGGGGCTGGCCACAGGGTGGCCTCCGATGCTGAGTACCCTGCTCAGCACCATCTGGGGGTGCCACTGAAGGACTCCCATACCCTGGGCCAATGTGTATATTGGTGAACATTAACTAGAATTTCAATGGTTAAGCAATTCAATCAAAACTGAAACCAGGAGGCCTGGTTCTGGATGAAATCGTGGCATTTCATTAGGAGTAAAAGAAATGCTTCTTTCTTTTTACTGTCATGGGATTATCTTTGGATTTTCCATGGTATTTCCTTTCTTAACATTCGGTCCTTGGGTTTTTTTTTTTTTTTTAAATCATTTTGCATTAATTTCCTCTTTAAGTCTCACTCTCCCCTCTGCCTCTTCCCCATGGCTTTTCTTCCCCCTTTTCCTCAGCCCTATGTCCTTACTGTGAGCGTTATTTGAAATATTTCTGCCCTTACCCAGAACTGACAGCTTGTCAGAAAGAGAGAGAAAGTAGTTTTTCAGCTAAAGGCAAGAACTCCAGCAAATGTGAATCCAAGATTTGCCCCCTTAGTAGCCATGTGGCTTTGGACACTTGATCTAGTCACCCTGAGCCTCAGTTTTTTTTATCTTGATAACAAGTATAACACTACTTATATCATAAATCAAAAGTAATATGTATATAAACTCCTGAGCAAAGTGCTTAGTATCTGATAGTCTAAATGAAATATAGCTTATTTTTTTAAAAAAAGAAAAGATCACCACAATCTTTCTTCTCCATCAGGGCTTAAGTTAATAGAGTCCAGCCATACTATTTGATAGACTAAGTTTCCAGACCCATTGCAGAAGGGACGGCACAAGTCCCAATTACCCTTTTACTTTCAAAATACATGCTATTTTCTCTCTTTGCATAGTAGGACTCTGAATAATATCCTGATAAAAGGATTCTATTTAAGCCTGACTAGATTTTAACTGATTTTTTTTTCTTGTCCTTTCCCCAGAGTTCTCAGATTGCTGTCCACTCCTGACGAGTAGCTCTCTGAGCCACAGAATTTACTTCATCACTGTGCCACCCCGTCACTTTCTTCTAACTAGAAGCCCGTCTCTGTCCTTCAAAGTGGGACTGATCCAGGCCTGGTGTCCAAAATAAAAAGTGCAAAGTGTCCTGGTCCTCATTTTTCAGTGCTCAGTGGTGAAACGCCACAGCATGGCACCACACCAGTACCATTAAAAAAAAGAAAGGAAAAGAAAAATTCAAAGTGAAACCAACACTTTAAATGTAAAACATTTTTAAATGCAAATGAGCTATAGAGAAGTTTAGACTCCCCATCAGACTTTCATGGAAGTTTATCAGAGAGTGAAAGACAGTCATGGGGCTCTTGGTTTCATTTGTGGAAAGCTAATGGCCCATTTTCTTGATCTCTTGACAAATGTGGTTACACCCAGGATTTCACACAAGAGCTTGCGGTTGTGAATTGAATCCAACAAAGCATTTTCCATACTAAGCAATGGTCTACTACCTTAAAATGTACTTTATGTTGAAACAAAAAAACCAATCTGGGGCTGGGGATTTAGCTCAGGGGCATAAGTGCCTGCCTGGCAAGTGTGAGGTCGTGAGTTCGATGCCCAGCACCAAAAAAAAAAAAAAAAAAAAAAAACAAAAAAAAAAATCTGACCTTATTAAAAACACATCTGACATGAAGATGACCATTATGCCTCCTGGTCACCTGGAGGTAGAGAATCCCTGTTGCCTAACGCTCACAAACATGTTTACAGGCTTCCTTCGAGTTCAGGCAGGCAAATTCAGGCTTCCATCTCTGTGCTGCGCCCTGCTCATATAAGTCATGTGTTTTGCTAAGGAAGGTAGGGAGTTGTAGGGAGGAAAAATAATAAAATGATGATGAGAAAAGTGATCGCAGTCCCCCGTGGCTACTCACCTGCTCCTAAAAAATCTCAGTATGTAAGAACCAGCCACCAAAAGTGGAAAGTGCCAAATGACCAGAGAAAGAAGCAGAAAAATGTGGATTGGACACATTGCTATTTATTAGGGAGGCATGGATTGAGGCACACCTTGGGCAGCAGCAAGACAGATGAATCCACACACTTCTAGGCCAGAAAAAATGTTTAGATGCTAAGCTAGGCAAAGTTAGGCCAAAACCAATGGGAATGTACATGAAAAACTATTCACATGTCAAACATCAGTGAAGACACAGTCTGGGCTTCAGCACCCAGCATGAAATGCTCAGCTCTTCACACAGATGACTATATTAATGACTTTGTTTATCCTGTAGGGTTCGGAGTGGGTGTCAGGGCAAAAGGGTGGTTAAAACCAAGATGGCTGTAGTCATGTTAATCTGGCCCACTTAGCCCAGTTGGGAGCCTACAGAAAGAGGTGTCTCGGGTGAGCTTTGGTGCAGTTAATGTTCATGAAGACAATGTTCAGACAATGCTCCTTCCGGATCCAGAGAACCAAGGGACATATTTGGTTGAAAACTCAAAAACAGCAGAGCTTAAGATACTTTCACATGTCAGTGTGGCCCCAGTGCCCACCACATCGGACACAGCAGAAACAAGCAAGAGCTGTTGAAGCACTGAATAAATAAGAGAATAGAAAAATAACGTAGGAAAGAATCTGCCGCCCCAATTCATTTCACAGTAGTCCACACGGTGACCAACGGCGTTTCTGCTCCTCCTGCTTTCCTCTAAACTCTTTCTACTATGCAGCAAACATAATCCACTGAACACATAAATCAGGCCCGATCACACTGCTACTTCAAACCCTATACTTTGGGGGCCAGGGATTTAGCTCAGTGCTACAGCACCTGCCTTTCAAGTGTGAGGTTCTGAGTTCAATTCCTGGTACCTCCCTCCCCCAAAAACAAACAAACCAACCAAAAAACCCTGTACTTATTAAAGTATAATCACCCTTTTGTGTTCATCTACAAAACCTGTGTGCTCTGCTCCCTGATTAGCTCAGTGGCCCCGCACGCATCCTCATCTCTTTATTCTTCGTATTCCAGCCACTCAGACTTTTGCATGTTCCTTAACAACTCTAGCTCATTTCTGCCTCAGAGTCTTCGCATCTGCTGGTCCCTTAGCCTAAAACTTTGTTTCTCCAGATTTTTATGTGAAAGCATCTTTCTTATGATTCAAAATTATGTCAAAGGATGCTTTCTGGGGGAGGCCTTTTTTGAGCTCCTACTTTATCCTGTATTTTTTTATCCTGTATTTTTTGTGAGCTCCATTCACCCTGTGACACAACACTAGTGTCTTTTTCTTTACAGCACTAAGTACTTGGGGGTTACTTGGTTCATTTATTTGGATTCGTGATTACCGTCAGCTTTTGTGGTCCTTCTTTACCTGTCCACAGCTGATGATTCTCCAAGGTTTAGTACAAAACCTGGCACACAGTGAACCCTTGGCAAATACTTTTTGACAATGAATAAATGCAAACCTGGCATCCTAAGGGCCTTGGGCAACACTCAGGGACACGAGCATTAGGAAGAGAAGATAGGTACTCCAAATAGATGGGCCCAAGTATGAAGGCCCAAGTATGAATGATTAGAGTTAATATTTATAGAAATTACTGAATGCCAGACATTTTTCCAATGACGAGCATACAGTTCAGTATATTTAAACTGTTCATTAAAATTTATTATCACTTTCCATTTAAATGTATTATATGTTGTAAGTCTCATGGTCACTCTTGTGTAATAGGCCAGACTATTATTTCTACTTTGTAGCTAAGTAACTGAACAGAGAGAGTAAGTGTCTCAGTCCATTTTCTGTTTATCTAAAGGACAGAAGTCTATTTTTCCTCAATATCTACCCTTGCCCTTCTGTTTACACATACATATTTGTAAGAACCGTGGATGCTGAATGTGTTTTTTATTTTTTGGGGTCACTGATGACCTTCCCCTGTACTGCTGGGACATCTCCAAAGAGACACCTCACCTCAAGTCTCACACTATTCTGGTGCCATCCTTTACAATGCCACCAGGTCCCACAGTACAGCTAAGAAAAGTGCTGGCCATCTTGTCAGTATCAACAGGCCTGGCACTCTACCTGCTGTGGGACATGTATCCTCCATTCCACAGTTCCCACAGCTGTAGAGTGGAGAGAATAATCTTGGTCTCTACAGACCTCTATAACAAGATACCATAGACGGGGTGGCTTGTCACCAATAGAGATTTACTTGTCAGCATTCACATTTGGTGGTAGAAAGGCAGTTAAGAAAGCTTAGAAGTCACAGGTTGAGGCTGTGGCGGACTCAGTGTCTGCTGAGGCTCT